GTAATTTGAGTTAAATTAACTTTTAAGTCACCCCTATTAAACAAAATGTCAAAAGCACAACACAATGCTACTTCAAGGCTGTCACCAATAACAGAGTATTTCTACAGTTTGGAACTGCTACTTTTATTAAAGTAAAATATCTGAATACTTCCTCCAACCCTCTTTAGGTACCAGCAACACACACCAAATTATGCATACACACATATGCACACACACATTGCTTGGTTCACGTGGGTTGTGCCAGTAAGTGCTGCTTTAGGCTATGGTTTTTCACTACTGTCTACTGTGTTATTAACAATTCTATAAAAAGATATGCTCAAGTTTTCCCTTCCTGTGTGTTGACAACCCTACTCAGCTGCTATGAGGTTGTTGAAGCATTTACAGAAACGAGTCCTCGATAGCATAACACTGTTGACCTTATGTCATAATTTCCAAAATCTTACTTTTCATTCCGTCGTTTGTTTTTCTTAGCGACATCACTCATCGACATGTCTCATGGCCGGCTTGAGACTAAATAGGTCAAGAACAAAAAGAGAGGGCCTCTTGCTCTCGCTCTCCCTTCTTTCTAAACCCACAAGTCTCCTCTAACTTCTCTACCCCCCTTTTTCTTCTTTAGCAACCTCATATCTATTTTTCCTACTGTCCATAAATCGACAGCTAATTCTCAATTTCTCTCTGTTTCAGGTTATTCCCATGTCTTAAATCAGATAAATTGCAAGAATTAAAATCGAAGTACTACCACTAAACTTTCAGTCACTTCTCTTTCTGCCCATTGTAAACGATCATGGGGCTCATCATTAGTTCTCAAAGAGGAAGAATGAGCCACAGTTTGATTACCTCGGTGGCTCTGTGGGCTCCCGCGGTCTCTTCTGACTGAATTGGACGCAGACGATTACAGCCTTACACAGGCAATTATATCTGCCTGCTAAATATTTCGCAGATAATAAACACATGCTCCTGACAGACAAGGGACCAGGCTAGACGGTCACAGCCGGGAACAGAGGAAAGAGAGCAAATTCAGGATCATATGGATTTATCAACCTTCTCTTCCTGAATTGGAAACCTGTGGCAGTTCCAATCAATGCATGTCAGTCAGTTAACGAAATAAATCAGCACAGAGATTAGAAGTTAAAGATTTCCAAGTAAATAGCAACCGTTAAAAGGTTTTCTGATTGATAATCTATATTCCAAAATAATAAGATTGGTTTTATTATCATTAATTTAACTTGTTATGGGTTCTGTCCCTTCAGGCCGCAGGGCAAACTTGGCACCGACACCAGGCCGATAATATTTGTAAAGGATATTCAATGAAAACAAGAGAGGGAAAGAGCCTTAAATCCCTGGCAAGGAGCTTATACCATGGCCCATGGTGTTTGCACAGGACATACCTCAGGAAGCTGGGACAACTGGGAATGTTTGTCCAGCTTCCAGCCTCTTCCATGCATACATACATACAGTACATACTGTATGTTCATACTGTATAAACATTCATACATACATGAGTGGTCAATCTCTCCTAACTTCTGTCCCTAGGTAAATTATCTCTCCCCAGAATGTAATCCACCATAAATATAGATATACATACATAAATATTTTAACAATTTTTCTTTAAACCCATTAAATGTTTGGCGTATTTCATTTTGGATTGCTAACAGAACATACACTGGACATTATGTATTCATCTATTAGGGCTGTGATCATTGATTAATTAAATTACTGATTTATCTGTTGATTATTGGATAGTAAAATAAATCATAACAATGTCCAAGGGGAAAAAAGCAGGAAGAGTCATAGTTCAAAGACGTCCCACTTTTTTCTGTCAAGCGACTGATGATTGAAGGCATAATTTCAGCTCTTATACATATAAACTGTAATTGACCCATAGGCACTTTTACAGTCCAATCCTTCATAGTCGTCTACATTTGTTTATCTTCAGTACTGAAACACTGGCTGGGTTCTGTACGAGCGAAGATGTGCAATATCTGTGCTTTATTATATTGCAGCTTTCCTTATCTTCCTCAGGGGAGGGTTTCTTTGTTTTCCATTGCTTGACAAAATAAAATTGGAGTTACTTGGAGGTCTCGTGTTAAAAACCCATGATAAGAGAGCTCCAAGCTCCAATAATCTTGTCAGTGCAACTGAGCCTAACCCACAAAAAAAAAACACAAAACTGCAACAGAAACAATATCTATATCTAGATAGATAGATAGATGAATAAATAGATGTGCTGATTTATTTGCACATCAATTTCGCCTCGCCGTCACACGTCGTTCCTTTGGAGTGTTTGCAGCCATTAATAAACATAATCAACATTTAACTAAACACCCAGGGGCCTCCTCTGCAGCAGGTGCTGGTGTCGTTTCTTTTTCTTTCTTCTCCCGCCATAAGAATAAGAATGCCATCGCACTGCCCCATGGGAAGGCTCGGGCTGACTAATGTAAGCACACTACAGTGGGGCGGCTGGTCTTAATTATGGTAACAGACGCTGAGGGGGACGCACTGGTACCCACCAACGAGCCGGTAGCTTAGCACTACCGGGGCCAATAATTAGCACATGGGGAACTCCCCTACCAAAGCCACTACCACTCACATACATTCATACTGTCTTATAACCTACATCACACCAAAACACTGCATTTCAAAATAAAACAAAGACACATGGGGCATTTAAATGGTGAAAAAGCTATCCATGCCATGATACAGTATGTTTTATTACAGCATCATGTTTATGTCCTTATAACAATATCCATGTCCAAAATTAAGTCACAAAAGTAGACACCTTGTGGTTGGTTGGGAAAATTACTTTTTACAGAGAGGTACAAAAAAAATGTAAGGCAAGAAATCACTGTGCCATGTGGTGGCTCTGTGACTCAACCAAGGTCCGAGCCAATATGAAATGATTTCAAATGGTTGGAATCCATATTAAAAATCTCCTCCATGTGTCAGGGCAGGCAGAATATGATTTAGTGGCTGTTTTTGCCCCGCTCGATTTGTGTCGCTGGCCCTTACTGAGGTATGCATGGCCTTCCTCTGCACGGGCTATGAAAGCAATTGTGATTGTGAATCCGTAGTCAGCAAAACGCTTGAATAGCCCCGAGTTAGCATGCACATGCACATGCACACACACACACACACACACACACACACACACACACACACACACACACACACACACACACACACACACACACACACACACACACACACACACACACACACACACACACACACACACACACACACACACACACTCATTTGGATTCACAGACTGAAATCCTCAGTCATATCAAAGCTTTCATCCCCCTTCTCTCCATCCCGTCACCATAGCAACGCCTAAGGGTGTGATGTGTGAGCCAAAGACTGTCCGCAGACAAAGAGGAGTGTGTGTGTGTGTGTGTGTGTGTGTGTGTATGTGTGTGTGTGTGTGTGTGTGTGTGTGTGTTTAGATTAGCAGTTTTTTGTTAAATGCTTTCAGAAAGCAGCAGGCATACCCTGATCTGATTGACCGACTCAAAAATAAAGTTAAAAATAAATAATGAAAAACATAAAAAGAAACGTACAGAGGAAAACAGCAAGAACAAAAAGAGGGAATACTCATGATAACATGGCCTACTTTCCACTACTACTTAAATGAGTTTTATTTATCAAATCAGCCTGTAAAAGCTGCTTCAGGGAGCGGTCTGTGAGTCTACAGGATGGGTAAGAAGTGTTCAAAAGATCAAATTGAAAGTATTTCTCATCCCTCTCTCTGTCTGTGCTCCTGTTATTAATATAATTGATTCAGCCGTTGGCTTTTAAATGCACAGAGAGCAGAAATGGGTCAGTGTTGTTTTCCTCCTTCTCTGGCATTCAGCCCAGAACTGACTTCACCTAATGTACGAGAGGATTTATAAATAATATGAACAAAAAAAATCATGCTGAAATATAGTTAGGAGCTGTGTGCAACGCTCAGTGTATGTTTTGGTCATTGGATTTTCTTTTCACAAATGGATATTCAAAACAAAAAACGACTGGATATTTAATTTTCATTTTAAAATTGAAAAACCAAAATTGAAAAAAATGTTTATCATGGTCAAAAAGGGATTTACTAAACTTAAAAAACGGGATGATTTTCATTTTCTACTTCTCAAAACAAAAAATAAAATCACTAGAAAACAGAAACAAAAAAACTAGTTTTTTCATATTCTGCCACCGGAAGTTACCTTCCAAAAAAAAAAATTGGACGGTAGATAAGCGGATTCCTCAGCTTTGTGTATTCAGGGTTTCTACATATCAGCAGCTGATGTGCGGAACATCAACTAAACAGATCCTGAGATATTCATAACTCTGATCTCACATGACGGATGTTTTCCATCATTATTTAATTCATGGTTGATACCAAAAAGAAATAAGATGAGAACATTTTTCATTTATTTTTCATTTCATCGTTTATTTGAAGAGGGACAATGCACATTGATGAACATTTAAAACAAATAATGCTTTAAAACGTAAACATGCCGGATTTTAGCTTTGAGCTAATTTCCATCCGTAGTCCCTCACATACAACATTTAAGAACGGCATTGACACATTTTTGTAAACAAGATATTGTTTGGTGTGACATTGTGCTTGTTGTATTTATTATGTAAATATATAATGTAATTATTAAATATAGTTATAATGATAAAATAATTGAGAATCAGTTTTAAGTGAAATATCTGACGAGTGATTTGTCTGCAAAGATCGAGGATATCACAGTGACGGATATTGCCGTATAAATGTGGCATACATCATTATGACACCCAACACTTGTTTGTATGTCACATTTAGAATGCATGGATAGTTTGTGTACTGCTGGTATACCTGATCATCTCGGACATGAATCACATTCTCTACTTGGTTCTCCGTTCAAAAATCTGTTCAAATCAAAGCATATCTTCAGTTTATCCCCCTCATTCTCATGTCTTCTTTGACGTGTGTGTGTGTGTGTGTGTGTGTGTGTGTGTGTGTGTGTGTGTGTGTGTGTGTGTGTGTGTGTGTGTGTGTGTGTAGCTTTCTGGAGCTGAGAAGCCCCCTGCTGGAGAGCCAGAGAATGGAGGCGCAGGAACAGAAGCTCCTGCAGATGGAGGCAGCAAGGTGACCACTTTTTACTCTCCCCCCACTAACTTTCATGTGTTTTGGACTATTGCAAGCACCCCAGAAACGCATTCAAACCCGGCAAATACAAAATATTATAATTCTATCAGTTTAAATAGGTCCTCCGCACTGTCTCTGTCGGTGACTGGGCCTAATAATGATCTTCATATAACAGTTTTCCTGCCCCTCCCTTCAGGTGGAGATGGTGTTCTGGCTGCTCTCCATGCTCGCCAACAGAGATAAGGAGGAGATGTCTCGCACTCTGCTGGCTCTGTCCAGCTCTCAGGACAGCTGCATTGCTATGAGAAAGTCCGGCTGCGTCCCGCTGTTGGTCCAGATCCTACACGAAGCCCCCAGCGGGGGGGAGGCAGTGACAGAAGGGACTGTGACGGGCTGCAGCAGGGAGGCCAGATCTAGAGCCAGCGCCGCCCTCCACAACATCATCTACTCCCAGCAGGACGAGGGCCAGGCCCGCCGCGAGATGCGGGTGCTGCACCTGCTGGAGCAGGTCCGGACATACTGTGACAGCGGCTGGGACTGGATCGAGAGCCACGCAGGGACACCGTCCCCTGGAGGAACCAAAACCACCGGTCAGTCAACTTCTTAAAACTCCATTGGTCGGTTAAGCTCCCTCAATACATTTGGAAATGCGAACAACCCTTTAAACGGGCGGAGTCACCTCTAGACTTAACCACACCCACTGGGGAACAGAGTTTATAAACTTTAGACCAGGAGGAGCTCACACCACCTATGCCTCAGGTTCCTACTCAGACCCGGCGGCAGACATAAATCTGTGGGCGGGCATTTGATTTCCCAGGGCGGGCCCAATGTAAAAATAATATGCGGCGGGCATCCTAACCTGCGATTACTCTGACAGGCTGTTAGAACTATCTCACATTCACACACATTACGTTCCATTGCTTCAAAACAGCTTACATTTAAATATATTTGGGCCTACACGTTCTTCTTTTACATTCATGGCCCACAACTTTCCGCTGCACTTACAAACAATTTATAAGAATGGGAAATTATGCTCAAGTCGTTTAGTCCCACCAAAATGTTAAACTTACACATCATACACAACACAACAGTCCATGGCTTATGTGAATTATAAGTGCTAAACAAAGTCAATAAAACAGTCGTTAATTGCACACTATAGTATCACTTCTATAACTAAAGTAAATTATTTGAGGACTTCTTCCTCCACTCACAATTTTCTTCTTTGCATTTAAAACCAATTACATATCCCTTCATTTTTGTGGCGACGAGCTAGGAGTTTTTTTGGGTACAGCAAAATGCAGTACATTGTTTGTGTTGTACCAGTACAACATACAGTAAAGGCACATATTTCACAGATGAGTTTTCTCATTCAGTAGATTTATTGTTAATAAACTTATTTATTTTCCTCTCTGCAGACATCCCTGAGCCTGTAGACCCTCAGATCTGTCAGGCCATGTGCGCCATCATGAAGCTTTCCTTTGAAGAGGAGTACCGACGTGCCATGAACGAATTAGGTTTGTGAAACAACTACCAGTCTTATTTTCACTTAACACTAGTGGCCCCTTTTGCTCAGAGTTGGTTGTGTTGTGTTCCAGGCGGTCTGCAGGTCGTGGCTGATTTGATCCATCTGGAGCAGGACATGTACGGCATGCAGAACGACCCCATCAACATGGCTCTGCGCCGCTACGCAGGGATGGCTGTGACTAACCTTACCTTTGGAGACGTCGTCAACAAGGTACACTGGTGTTTCATCAGTCCTGCAAGTTCAGTTGGCAGTAATGTTAGAGAAAGATTTGTTGCGGAAAGGTGTAAAATATGAGAAAAGTAACCTAAACACGGTTGTGGACAGTAACTATTTACAGTTATACATATTTTCTCATTTCTATACTTGTTCGCATTACAAGAATACTTAAGTTACCTTTTTAATGCACAACCTTAAAGAGCCTGTGACAGCATCCCAACAACTGTTGTGCAATGAAATATTGGGCTACTAGTCATCTCGAACCGTCAGTTTAAAAAAGAAGGTGCGATACCGTTCCGAAAAATATCAATGATTTCGAACATCGCGGGGAAATTCCTTCGACTCATTTCGAAGTTTTGGGGGAAGCCGGAAGTGACGTCAATGCGGGAACGCTTCACTGTGCGGCGAGAGAGCCAAACACGGACAAAGTGTGTTGTCATGCGTAGAAATGGTGAATTACTGAGTTTATGCACGTTAATAACGTTTTAATGAAGTTGACTACAGTATATTCATATTTGTCAGTGCTTTCATGTCAATTCGGCAAACATAAATGATCGTGGTGAAGAGGATGATTAAATTAGGATTACAAATCGGTAGTGAGAGCTGCTGAATTTCCTCCCGTAGGATGTGATATAAAAACAAATCGATAATTTTTTTAGTTGTAAACTCAAGTGGATGAAACTACATTTATTAGTGCTTTCATGTCAATTCGGCGAACATATGATACATTAAATGATCGTGAGGATGATCATTTAAAAATCGTTTGTTTGAGCCGGTCTGCATTTCCTGATGAGAAATCAAACAAATGCTTTTTGTAGTTGTAGTACACCAACATGGATTAAACGTGTGGTTTTTTTACCACAATGTTGGGGAAATGAATGGATAAAATGCACGGATTATTATTAATATTATTATTCTTCCCTCTCCGATCGGGACACTAGGTNCTCACACACACACACACACACACACACACACACACAGACACACACACACAGACACACACACACACACACACACACACACACACAGTGCCAGGGCTGGTCTAGGCGTGGGCCCTTTCAGACATAAATTGCTTTATTTTAATAGTTGTATGGTAGAGAAAGAAGGAAAGAGAGAAAATGGTAAAGTACTATAAAGGCTATGTAGAGAAAATTGGATTCAACAAAGAAAGCACAGCTCTTTTTCTCTGTGTGTTATTTTCTCTTTTTCTTCCTAATTCACTGGATTACATTACAGGGTTTTTAAATCAGTGTCATTTTCAATATGTTTATGTCCATCTCCATGTGTTTGTTTGGGGTTATGTGATTATCTGTTTCAACTCCATTCCCTTGTACTTGAGTGTTTTGATTCCGATGTGCTCTGACTGTTTGCAGTCTGCTATCAGTAAAGGACAACAAGCATTTATCTCTCACACTCACACAGAGGCAGTCACAGGGTCGCACGCATGCTATCTCATTCCACACACATCATCAAACATGCATTACACACACACACACACACACACACACACACACACACACACACACACACACACACCCACTGTCTCCATACTGGGCCACTGATTACTTCAACCCATTTGACTCTCTCACTCATCCTTTGATTCTCCCTTTCTGCCTCTCTGTCACATACCACAGAGTTTGTCATTAGCTAATAGCGACAACGCCACTCAACATGAACATACACTACAGCATCACAGAGACCGGTTAATTTGTCGTCCGTGCTTAAGTACACGAGGTTCTAAAAATAACCTGTGTACATTTAGCCAAAACCAACAATAAATATTTCTGTGTTTGTTTAGGAGCTTATTTCACTTGACCAGTTGATGGAAATCCACGGAATATATTAATGCAAAGTAGTCAAACCTTTGCACACTATACACCAGGCAGTCCTGTAATAAAAAATAAAACTGAGATAAGCCATTCAAATGGAGCGCATCATACCACAGCTTATCTAAAGGCAGAGTAGACCACCAACTAACAAAGCCAGCTCTTCAGTCATGCCCTATCTAAGCAGATATCAGTTGTTGGGAGGATATATGAGCTGGGTGGGGCCTGAGTGTATAAACACAGGGCTCTCTCTGCACTCTATGCTATTGCTGTACTGTATGCAGCACCTCACCCCAGCAGCAGCAATGTTTGATTAAGGTATTCAAATAAAGGAGCAGACACTGTGTGCCCATTTCACAGAGCAAACTAAAGGTGCCGGACATTTACAGTCGCACATGTTGTGTAATGGAAAATGCATCTTTATACTTCAATACAATACATGGTATTTTAGTATTTGCACTGTATGTATGAGTATTATATGTACCCTGCAGCCTGTAAGGAAGCAGAAGCATTACAACATATGTTTGTATTACCATCAGAGCACAAAGCTGTTATAATGGTATTATTCTGTGTCATTTCTCCTCGGCTCTGGGAGAACTTCACAGCAATAAAAGACACACACACTCACAGTGAAATAAAGTGAGTATTGAAAGCATTGAAGTAGAAATCTTCAGGGTTATTTATTGATCTTTCTGAATCATCTAAATCTGCGCTTGAAGTACTTTCTCCGCTCAATTTATGCATCTCTTGTTAGCGTCCTTCACCTTTTGCTGTTCTGCGATTCTGAACTTCTCAGTGATTACAGCACAAACTGATTTGGCAGGCAGAATGATTCATGTTACTTAAGCACTATAGTCAGTGACAAACGTTGACTGAAAAAAGGTTTGCGTTTCCTACAGGCAAGACGTTTTTGTTCATCATGGACACACTGCCAAGTTAACGGAAACTATTCAAGCAGCATTTCGTGTTGACAATAATGATCAGCACAGAGAGGAAGAACACATCCAGAAGAAAGTAGCACATAACTATTAGAAACGAAACAAGCTGCGGCACCAAATGAGCAGTGTGACAACGGCTGAAAACATGACAGCCCTGGAAGTGAAATAAACTTGATAATTACTCAAACTATGGTTGTGGCCACGGAAGCATTCATTGAGTCAGTAGCACACAAAACAGCTTTCCAAATAAACAGACTATGAAGCTAAAATACCAGCGCATGCTCATTTTATCCAATTAAGCCTGTGTGTGAGTCAGATTAACACTGTTAATTTCCCAGCGATAAAAAGAGAGATCTTTTCTCAGGCTGTAAAATTGCTTCTTTTTTTAAACAGGGATACTGGAGCAGCCAGAAATGTGTATAATGGTGATAAATCTCAACATGGTTGCCAAATTGCAACAATGTTACCAAAAGCTTATTTGTATTCAAATTATTTTGACTCTTTTCCAATAATATTATCCCAGAAGAATATTCTCAAGCTAAAGAGGCCAACAAATTCAGCCACAAACCAAGATGTCTACATGAATATGCAAAGTAAGCCCATAAAAAACAATTGACCTTAATGCTATGATTAGCCTTTTGCCTCAGCGCTGCTTCAGAAAGAGACTTGGGCAGAATTTGACCAACCAGAGCTGTCAGAGATGATTAAAAGCGAGCAGATATGATCCGTAGATCCTGTGCCTACACCACCCAGCACATGTCTCTTTAGTGCCACGGCCAGTTTGACAAGCTTGAGGAGGGGAACTTGACCCTCTGTTAACAGGACACCAAGTGATCCCTGCTGCTCCCGGGCCTCATTTGCATTGCTAGTGAAGGTAGTTAGTGTTACACATGTGATGATAGCAAATTAGACCTCCCTTTGTAGAGAGAGCCCCAAGTCCCTCATGCAAAGGGAGCGGAGGGGTTTCAATAATTCAAATGAACACTTGTAATGTTGAGGGGAGCCACACTTTTGTATCGGTGACAGCAGTTGGTGTCGCTTTCCTTGACTTTTTTCCTTTCCGTGACTTTCTATCATTTAATATCTAGTGGCTTTGTTTCCAGGATTCATGCAATGTGGGGATATCATCATATTCTTGAGATTATCCGAATGCAGGATGATCCTAATTCGTTTGACCTACAAAGACATAGCCTGCCTAGTTATATGAGCCTATTTGTGTGTCTCAGGTGTACACATTCCTTATCAGTGTTTCATATAAATACACCTTATTTAATCGAATGCTATAATAGCTAAAAACAAATAATCCTGTTTCCTTTTTCTTTCAGTTTTGTGCAAAGAAAAAGCTTCCTTCCTGAGCAGTGTTAATTGTAGTGTCATTTTGTATGATCTAAATTGGGAGATGATCTTTTCAGTCAGTTACTGAAATGTTCCGTTCGGGTACAGAGACTTTCCATTGCCCACACGGAGAAAAACAAAGCATCCCCAACCATGTAACATTCCCTTTCGCTTTCATATACCTGAAAACAATCTATATCTGTGAAAGCAAGCTCCAGAACATCTCCCTCTACAGCAGGTCCAGTTGGTTTATTCAAACACGGTAAGTGACAGCAAAGTCAAATTCTTTCAAAAAAACACTTTACAATAGTTTTCATAGTTTTTCCACAGGGTAGGCCTATATACTGTGGTATTGGTAATCATACTTGAGCTGTGATCTTATTTAACTTTGTGTTTTGTTTTTTTGTATCTCCTATGGGAAAACATTTGTAGTTCCCCAATTATTTTTGACATTTATACTAACAGTGTGAGTACTCACTGTTTATATTTCAAAAAAGGATGATTTACATTTTTTTCTATTGTAAAATGTCAGACTACAAAATAGTCATAATGTTGTTTTAAATGCCACCTGCGCACTTGCAATGGAGTCAGTGCAGGTCACAAGCCGAAAGCCGCGGGGTGTCAAAACTGAGAGAAAAGAGTGATACTTTGTACCAGCCAGACTCTGTGGTCTCTACTTACAAAGTAATTAACAGTACATTACTGGCACACATCCATTTAATCGTTGAACTCCCAGCGGAAAACCCATGTAAGCTAAAATAAATGATTGAGAGGGAAGATAATGTTGGAGCAGAGTGGGGCAGTATGGATTCTATACAGCCCCTGGTATTTCACATCGGGTGGGACACTTAATGCCAGCTTTGCGCGGAGCACAACTGCACAATCTCACCGGGGAAATAACATAATAACCATGTTGGTTAGAGGAGGGAAACAAAGTTGGATTTTCTCTCAAAAGCAAAATAGAATGATTGCAGGTTTCAGAAAAAG